TGTTGGACTCTTCTGACGCGTCGCTCTTTCCTTGGTGCTCCTTTATTCTCTGTCAGAGATGCTTCGAAGGCAGAACGAAGGATAAATATACAGTCTGAGTCCAGCAGCGCCGCGCTGGGCTTCCCTGTGGACGGTGTTTTCTGTCTAATGCTACGTTGCTGCTTCGTCTGAGGCTGTAAAAGCTCCGACTGCCTTGAGGTCGGAGCTCGGAGGACGCCTCGAGCCTCGAGCCTGTCGCGGCTGTAATTATGACGCTTTTATTGGCGGCCTCGGTGTGCTGCAGCGCTGCAGCGTTGGGTCACCGAGGTTCTCCAGGATCAGTCTCCAGCCGCCAGCTCTTATGAGGCCTGACAGCTGTTTACCTTGGACGCCGGTTCCTCCACGTTTCTGCATGGTTTGGCGCTGACCAGCAGCTTTATTGAATTAGCTCTGCAGCGACAACGGACCAAAGGAAAAAGGAGACAAAGGAAAGAATGAAAGACGCCAGAGAAGCTCAGAAAGCTGCGAATCTTTACATGAACCTGAAGAGAAAACACGGATCGGCTGCACTTTGACACAAACCGACAGAACAAACACTTGCGACACCGACAGCAGCCGACAGGTTGGGCAATGTTTGTTGCTGCAACGGCCTCGCTGTGACCGTGGGCTCCCATTGGCTCGCTGCTCCGCCGCCCCTCTAAATGGATCCATCCTGGCCAGACGTCTTGTACAAACTGCCTCTGGGCAAATATCACATCCTATATTGGAACAAACTGACCCGAATCCTCAGAACGGAGCAGAAAGACGAGCGTTCACTTAAAGCGGCAGCGACCAGCAGCAGGAGGACCACGCTGATGCTTCTCTCCCGTCCTACATCCACAGACGATATCAGCTCGCTGCTTTCTGCACACGAGCAGGTTTTCAGGATTCAGAGGATAAACAGCATCACTGTGAGGAAGCAGCCTGTAAAATGACTTCAGACCTCAAAGACCAACAGAGATTCTGCAGCCAGTTGGAGGTTTTAGAGACGATTTGCTTCATTTCTGAATGTTAGACGACAAAACGCCAAAAGTATTTTAAAAACTGAGCTACCTCAGTGTAGCTTAGCTTAGCTTAGCATAAAAACACTGGAGGGAAACTGAGCTGTAGCTTCACATCTACTGCAGCTCTGGAATAAAAGCTTAAATAAAGGCCAACTGGAGGAAAACGTTCACACAATAATAACTACACGTCAGCTGCTCGGTTTTAGATTCTTAGGCAACAAAAAAATAAAGACATCCCAGTCTGAGTGAACATACGGTCCTTTAAGGCCATTTTCTGGGTTTCATGGTGATGAGTCTGATTAGTTGAACGGCAATAAAATGAATGGAAAGGTGCACTGATTTAGCATTTAGCATCAGTTTAGTTGAATAAAAACGTATTTCTTTGGAGGAAGGGCTGTGCTAAGCTAAGCTAACTAGCTGCTAGCTGTAGTTTCACATCTCCTGCTCCTCTGAATGAGATTCATCAGACATGAATACAGAGCGGACCAGAGGAGGAGGATGAAGTTCTGCAGCAGCTCTGATGTGATTCCTCTGATAGCTGCATGAATAAACCAGTTAATCAGAATAAACCTTCCTCCTCTGAGAGTTCTGTTAGAACTCGTGTCAGCTCCGCTTACATTATTATGTTTTTTCATTGCGCTCAGGAAACCACTCAAGATGTGCGTCCCAGTGCAGATTAATCCCCTCGCTTCCTCTAATCTGTAACAGGCCCAGATTAGGGCACTAAAATGATACGCTGCAGCACATAACCACATGAAGATTACTCGTCCGCACGTTGATAATCCCCTCAGACTTTTAAGTAACGTTAAGAGAGCGACCGTGCAGCAGAGTTTTAAAGGCAGACTCACATTTTGCACGTTTCGACGCTCTATTTATAGAAACGCTGAGGGCGGCGTGGCTTCAGGGGATTCTGGGCTTCAGCCTCCGTCGAACAGCTTACCTCTGAATAATTAGCCAAACGAGCACTTTGTTTTTTAAGGTAGTTAATGAGGCGTGAAGAAAGGCGTCTGCTCTCAGCGTCTCAGACAAAACAGTCGGTAACAGATCCCAGGAGAAGTTCGCTCAGAGGTTTGTCTGAAGAAATGGAACGGCATCAACCCAACAGGCACAAAGTCAGTGAAGGAAAAGTACTGACACTACACGGTAAAAGTACTCCATTACTGCATTTAAAATGTTACGTATAATCAGGGAAATGTACCTGAAGTGGGAAAAGTAAAAGTATTCAATAGAGATGAAGTTCTTTTGCCTTTACATAACATGAGAAATGTAGTTTCTTAGTTTCTGAGAAACAATAAGATAAAAGTGCAAAACAACTGAAAATAAAAAATGAGTTCTAAAATACCACCGGAGTGGAAAAAATAAGAGTTGTACTGCCAGAAACTCTGAGGCAGCAACGTCAAACCACACAATGAAATATTTACAAATTAAATGAAAATATTTCACCTGAAAATTTAAATATTGCACAAATAATTAAAATACTGCATGAAAAACTGAAACTGACGTTACACAAACTACTGAGAGACTGATATATAAAATAATACTATTATACTGATTATTATTACCAGAGATGAATGTGAAAGCAGGACTTTCCTGCTGAGCAGCTTCAGGTGGAGCTTCTGCTCAATTCTTTGTGCAGGAATGTGTTTTATGCATTAATCTGCAGGTTATGTTCTCCAGTAATTAGCCAGATCCCAAAGTGACTCCTTCACATCGGTCCTCTGTGTAGATTCTGAGTCTGAACTTCAGCGAAAACCAGCTAAACTTCTCTTTTTAGTTCCTGAAGATGTTTGACCTTCGTCCGAGAGCTTCCTCAGTCTCAGGTGTTCACTCAGGTGTGTCCAGGTGGAGGAGTCGAGTCTCTCTCCAGCTTTAAAGGTGCAGAAATGATGTTGAGTTTTAGCTAGTTAGCGTTAGCATGTACCAGATTTCACATCAGTCTTGTTCCTCCTGGCTAAAAACAGTGGATTAAAATCACTGACGCCACCTTTAATCCACTCAACAAACCCAGAAAAGACTCTTTGGTTTCTCCATCAGCTCGGCTTCGGTCTGTTTAAACTCTGACTCAGCGATGATTCATTTGGGTTTCTAGGAAGCTCCTGCAGGCGGCGGCTCCTGGAAGAAGAGTCGGTGGTGCGATGCGAAGACAAGACGACACACGCAGCGGATATTAGGCCACAATGTTTATTCAGTAGTGTTGTTTCAACTTATAGGTACAATACTGTCAGCTTTGTAAGACTAAAAAAAAGTTACCATTACAGTCATCCATGCTCACAGAATGCCAGTCGGTTCGTTTACGCCCCTCTTTGTGTTCACACCTGCTCACCACGAGCACGACATCTCCCAATGGTAGGCACTTTGAAGGTTTAAAACATTTGTGAATATACATTTATATATATTTATATATCTTTTCATATACTAATAAGCAAATCAAAGGTCAGAGAGAAACTAAAGAGAGTGAAGAGAGAGAGAGAGGAAACAACATGATGTGGCCGTGACGGAGGGGAGTAGAAATACTGTGAGTCTTTGGGTTTTCAGTATAGTTCAGTACCTTCGGTCCAAGAGAGGACGACAGCGATGAGGAGGGTGGACAGACGAAGGGATGGAGCTGCTGCATGAGGGCGTTCAGGCCGGCTTCACGTCTCCTCAGAGAGACAATCGCCACGGAGACGGGAGCTCGCCGCCGCTTCAAATCACTCTGAGCTGCATGAACACAAACCTCCTGGTGGGTTCTGGAGCCGTAAACAGCCTTTAGAAACTATTCAGGTCGGACACCAGAGTCCTGTTTACCAGGTCTGATTCTGCTCCGGATGTTTGTGTCCGAGCAGAACCGGGCCTTCACCGAGCTGAGAGTTTAGAGAGAAGACAAACTGGACGATCCGATCGGAACAAAAGGAAGGCGGCGGCGAGGAGACGTGAAGGTCTGCAGGAGGCCGAGCGCTCCACAGGCAGCAGCAGGGAGGTGGACAGCAGTGAATGTGCAAATGTGAGAAGCATTTAAATAGAGAAGAGACAAAAAACAGAAGCCAGATTTGTGTTTTTTTTTTTTCCTCGAGCCCTGACACGTTTTTTTAAAAATCTTTTAAAGACCTGAAAATAAAGAAGAAGAAGAAAAAAAAAAGGCTAGACGAGAAGAGAACGGAGAGACGAGACAGAAGATCAAACCGATGTGAGAGCAAATAATAAACACTGTAACCTGAAGGAGGACATTTACATTTGACCGTTAACAGCGTTAATGTGAAGACGAAGAGCTTCACCAAAACTACAAAGGCATTGTTTTAACATCAGAGAAAAGATAAATTAATGCAATACACCTTTAGAGATCAACATCAGACATGCTAGGACAAAATAAAAAGAGAACAAATGAAAGTAGGTTCGATACAGAATAATTATATTCAATTATTTCCACGTTTAAATGTGTTTTTTTCTTTACAAATAACAGACTGCTACAGTTAGAAGTAGTCAGCGACTAAACAGCTCCTCTGGCAGAAACAGAACCATCGGGTCTCTCGCCGTTACAGATTCCGGGTTTTTATTTTTTCAAATAATACACAAAATGTTTAAATATACTCAGATTTGCCCAAAAATGAGAGGTTTCATTTAAAAAAAAAAAAAAAAAAAAGAAGAAAGAAAAATTACAATACTCTATGCAAAAGCTTTCCTTTCAGCTAGTTTTACCTTTTAATCAACTCTTTTGTTGTTTCTGGTGTTTGAACGCTGCGGCTCTGACGGGCCGCTCCGGGTCGGGTCGATCGGGTGACGGGGGGGCGGGGCTTTATGCATAAAACTCCTTGGTCGGGGCCTTCTGATAGGCCGCTCCGGAGGGCTTCCTCTCCCCAAGGTCGTAGCTGCCCTCGTCCTTCTTCCTCATGCGGTAGACCAGCAGGAGGATGAGGAAGATGGCGAACAGGAAGCCGATGACGCCGCCTGCGATAACAGCTGAGACAGAAAGGCAGCGGTCAGAGCACAGACGTCAGATCAATGCCGGAGATTAATCGTCACTCCCGTCCCGCGCAGTCGATTACGAAACCGTTGGTTTCAGCAGCTCGTGCGATCCAGATTATCTAAATGGACGGCTTAAGTGTGTCGAAAGCAAACCGCAAACGGTGTCGAAACCGACGCAGTTGCTTCACGTCGATGGGAAGAAAATAAAAAAAGCCTCAATTCATCCCAGGAGAGTCGATCATGTTCTCAGCGCTTAATTTCACCTCCGCTAATGTGCTGCTGAGCTTAGAAGCTCCATTAGGAGGTCATTAGGGAGGACCAGGCCCGGGCCAGCACCGGCCAGCATGCTTTATGTTCCAATCAGTGGGCTACCAGTCCGGGTTTCTGAGGAAGAAGCCTGCAGCTCGATTCTGAAGAATCAGGCAGATAAACAGAGACAACCCATAAACAGCAACCAGCACGGCTTTGGTCGAGCCCTGGTATGAAACACCGACACCGAGCCACTGACCAGGTCCAGATCCAGACCTGCACCCTGGATGGACACGATGCACCAATAAAGAGCAGAACCTGAAGGTGCCTCCATCTCCTTAAAGCCTCCTGCAGCTCCTGCAACACCTGAACAGCTCCTGGAAGTCTTTTCTTTCTAACTGCATCAAGAACTATTTGCAGTTTTTGCTGAATCTCTGAAAACTTTGACCCTTCAGGTCAAACTTAACTTTAGGAAACAGTAGAGCAGAGATTAGAGCGGGCGGAGAACGATGGTGGTGCTGGTGAGGCCATAGAGCTCCACATTGTGTTGAATGTTCTCACTCCAGAGTTCACAACAAACTGATCTGATGTCAAACAGAAAGCTGCTCCTGAACCGACTCATCCTGCAGCTCTGCTCCTGGTAAACTCCTGGTTGGTGTGTGGATGGTGGTTGACGTTCCTGCCCGACCGTTAAACAGAACCGTCAGTCCGACTGCTGCCAAAATAAATGAAAAAACCGACTCGATGCTGAGACAGAAGAAAAAGTCAACATGTCTGGACTTGGTGCACCGACCAGTCCGTAGAAACCGTCCGGCTTGAAAGCGGTCAGGCTGAAGGCCGCTGACCGGACCTGGTGGCCTCACCAGAACCACCATCGTTCTCTGAACTCTACGGTTTCCCAAAATGACATCTGACTTGAAGGGTCAAAGTTTTCAGAGATTCAGCAGCAACTGTAAATAGTTCTTGATGCCTGTAGAAGACCAGACGTTCCAGGAGCAGAGCAGCACCAGGAGGCCACGGTACCGGGACGGAGGCAGAACTTACCTTCTGGTTCTGCTTTTTATTGGAATTCACTCAGTGATAGAAAAACTTCTGAAACAACGTCAAGCAGCTGGAAAGAGTTAAAAACATGATTTAATCTGACAGAATCATCTAGTGTTTACATCATTTCCTCCCTCAGCGCTCCTCAAGCTTCAGCAGCGTTTTAGTCTTTATGTCACTGTTTTTTATTTTATTTTATTTTTTTAATGACTCTGTTGTGTTGGACGCTACGAACCCAAGCAGCTGCTAAACTGACTTTTTATTGTTGTTCAACGCAGACGATAAAAGATCTTCTCTGAAAGTAGACTGTGGGTTCTGGTCCATCGTGGATTTGACATGTTCAGACACACTTCTCTGCCCAAAGACGCTTTCCGACCATCTGATGGATTCATGACGTGTTTTCTGAGCGGATTAGGAGCTAAAACGTTGGAGGACGCTCATATAAATCATATACATTTATAGAGAATCTCCAGGTTGAAAGTCAAACATCCGACTGAGGATGAGTGAAATCAGCCCACTTTCAATTATGGCAGCATGAGGTCCTTTATGGGCTCTTAATCAGTTTAGGTCGTCTGCCGGTGCTCCCATCTGCCCTCTGCTCCACTTCAGGTCTCACATGTCGGCCGGCCTCGTGGGTTTAAGGCACATTTACAGCCGCGGAGCTCCGAGGAGCCGGAATGCAATGCGGAGCCAATGAATGACAATTAGATTACAGGCAATTATTTTTATAGAAGTCATACGGAGGGAGGAAGAGTGATGGTGATGATCTGGAGGTGACTCAGGTACACGCCTTTCAATCTCCTGTCCTCAGACTTCATCCCGTTTCTTTCCATCACCATCCAAGAACAATATGCTGCGGATGAAACGAGGCGCTCAGTGGGAGGCGATCCGTCCTCGTCGTCCTGCATATTGCCGGCACCAGATGGATATCACAACAAAGCGAAAGCGAGATGCCAATAAAAAAAAACCCACAGAGCGAGTCGGCATCAGAGAGCCGCTGTGATTCAGCATCAACGCGTTCAAAGCGAAGCGGCTCGAGACGTCCTCGCCGCCGCCGCGAACTCTGCAAAGTCCCACTGAGGGACGCAGACGGAGTTCGTTAGCGGTAATTATTCTGAGAGGAGGCTCAGGTGGGACGCTTCAGGGGAAACCTTACCTGGATTTCAAGGACTCGCTGAAAATGTGCTGACACGTAAACCGACGAGACGATCAGACGGCAAGCTAAACATAACAACACGCATCAAAGAGCGCGAAGGACATGAAATATTAATGGGATTGTTCAGCCTGTTGGGGGAATTAGTCTAAATATAAAGCTACAGCCAGCAGCTGGCTACCTTAGCTTAGCTTAGCATAGAGAGCAGAGACGGATAAACAGTTAGCCGCTCCGTCCAGAGGTTGGTGTAGCAGCAGCTCGTTGACTAAACACAGCTGTGCTAGCCGTGTCCCACTGTCCAGCTTTTATGCTAAGCTAAGCTAACTGAGATGAATCTGTCACCTAATTTAAAAGAAAACAGAAAAACTTGTTCTCCAGAACGACAAACTGCTGCTCTAAGACAGTCCTCAGAAGATTTAACCAAAGCTCAGCTTAAAATTACATCAAAAATTACTTTATTTTACACGTTTAATTAAAAAAAAATCAACAGAAATGGACCATTTCCACGAGTCAGATTCTGTAAAAATAAGAAATTCTGCGCTTGTCTGTGGACTGGTGGAGACATCAGTGACTCAGCTGTGACCGACAGTCAGCTGACTAATATTCTGGGACTTTATTGGCTGAACTGCAGGAAGTGTTTCCACAGAGCAGCTCGGTGTGGAACCAGAGAAGTTCAACCTGAGTTTGTTCTTCTTCTGTTTCTGATTCATTGTGAGTCCTGCTGACAGACTTCTGTCTCCTTCATGCTGTTCTGCTGTTTAAGCCCTGAAACGGCTGCTTTCCATTCAGGAGGATGAAATAATCCTGCTGTTCTCTGTGTTCAGCTTTAGTCCCATTAATAGGTGCATGATGTGTGCATCAGAGGTTTGTTTCTGTGATATAAGACTATCAAACCTTTTCCTCAGATGACTCGTGTTGTGAGTTTGATAAATCAAATTTATTAAAATATAACTAATTTAGTTCAATTCAATTGAGCCGATTTTATAACTTTCATCAGAACACCGGTCACCTCAGGACTCACCACATAATATTAAATTACAGAACTGAGCAGGATCTAAAGCTCCGTCAGAACCAGAACCAGGCCGAGGGTGGCCACCAGCTGGGACCTACCTGCCAACACCTCCGTCCTCTGGAAGAGGCCCTCGGTGCGGACCTCGACGGGCTCCTGAGGCGAGCCGGGGGCGCTGGTCGTGCTGGTCATCTGGTTCCTCTGCAGGTCCTCTGTGACTGGAACCGGAGCCTGGAGGGAACAAGGAGGCGCTTTAACGTGGATTCATCGTTTCAGAGCAGCTCAGACTCTCACCGCCGAGCATCACCTGTTAGTCACTGGTTTTATTTAACATCTCACGCTGACGGGTTGAACTTTAATGTTTGCTTTTTTTTTTTTGTTTTTTTTTTGTTTGTCGCTGGCTGCTGGTTGCTGCTAGCTGCTAGCTGCTAGCTGCTGCCTCTGGTGCAAAGAGAATGAAACTAAAACTCCTTGTGTGAGTGCTGAGAGACGGCGGTTCTTGTGGGTTCTGTTTGGGTTTATTCCTGATTTTCCTTCCAGGTGTGAACGTCCTGTTTTAGGGATCTGCTGCATATTTTTGGGAATACATTTATCTGCTTTGCTGAGAAGATCGATGACGCTCTGATGTCTATTTGTTATGAAATTAGCATAGCTTAGCATTAACAGCTAGCTTGGTTGCCTCTCAATATATACACAGAATGCTTATTGTGTGTTGACTGTTTGTTGTCTTTATAAACGGACTGCGTTTGATTTGTGGTTTTATGAAGGTTTATGTGTGGAGCTAGCTGAGGTTCAGCGATGTTCTGTTAACCAGACCGGCTCAGATGCTACAGGGGTGTAAATATTCTGTACATGCAGAGACACGTCACATTATTCAGGTACATTTCCATAAATAAAAACTCTGCAGAGTTCAGTAAAGTCAGAATTTTGGATTATATTTAAATGATTCCAGTAAATTCACACCATAGAGAACATCACAGGGTCTGAAGCTCAAAGTGTGAAGTGGTTCAGGAGTCGGTTATTTCATGGTAAGAAGGTCAATACGTGTATTTCCCTGATTGAAACAGTTAGCTTAGCATAGAGGCTACAAACAGCTAGCTTGAGTCTGTCCAAAGGTGATAAAATCTTCCTACCAATGCCTTATTTTTTTTCAACTGGTTTTCTGTACAAACACTGGTGTGAAAATAATTTTATTTTTTTGTGTTTGTGTTTCTCAGAGGAAAAAAATAATGACTGCACAACAAATGAAGCAGAAACGAGCTAATTAAGGACATAACTGTACACAAAACACGCACTATAGTCAGGAAAGGTGGTGTTTTATATCATTTAAAGGCATTTTAATGGCCAATATCTACATTTCTGTGGTAACCCATAAACAACTCTGTCAGGTCTTAACCCAATCATTCCTGTTGTTTGGTTGCTTCACACCACAAACGTTATTCTCTCGTTTCACTGGAAAGCCCTGAAGTGCAGCGGCGGTTGTATTAAATGTTCCGTATACAGACTAAATCAGTTCCGTTCTGCTCCATGTACAGACGTGTAGGATGGAAGCTATCATCCGTCTCCTGGCAGGGAGTTAAATACATAACCCTATTTAGCCCCGCTCCCCCATTGATTAGCTGTTCCTTCAGGTCCAACGTGGGGCTGAAGTGGAACGTGGCCGCAGAACCCTACGGGGACCGCTCAGAGAACGAGGTGGAACCAGTCCAGATCCGTTTGAACGAGGTTCGATTTTTGCAGCTCCGGGAAGCGAAGCATTCGGGTCCGTGTGCGCTTTAGTTTCTCCCCAGAGAAGGATGCAAAGAACCGAGCTGGAGCCGATCCAGAGCGGTGTGGACGGAGGCCAGGTGGGCCTGTGGGGGTCGAGACCCGCAGCACTAATCCCAAACAGATGCAGCGTCCAGAGTGCTGCGGAGGTGAGAGCTGCGATGTTCCAGCGGCTGTGATTACGTCTGACACAGATGTAATCCTGCACAATCTGCAACCGAGAGAAAACACCGAGGCCAGCGCTCCATCTCTGTCCTGAGAGCGACCTCGCTGCCTCGGTGACCCGGCCGGTCCAGAACCAGACCGGGTCCAACGGAGACACGCCGAGGGTCTGAGTGGCGTCGAGGCTCGCTGTGCTGTAGCTGCTCATTCAGCAGGAGGCTCACACCAGAAAAATGCACACAAAGCTGGATATGGTGGCTGAAACATTAGCTTTAGTACTAACTGTGTATGTTTGATGCTCGGTTCTGATCAAACACAGAACGTCTGCCTGAAGGAAAAGTTCTGCTTTTTCTTGCAGGTGCATTTGAGGAATATTTGCACAAGTTTTGCATTCATTTAAATGTGAAACTACAACCAAGAGACGCGTAGCTTAGCATAAATAATGTGAAGCAAGAAGAAACAAAGGAAAGAACAAGCTCCTTCAGAGTTCCCTAATTAAACCATTAGATCTCGTCTGTCTAATGCACACACACGAGTATGAAAACAGTTGGTTGTGGGTTTACGTGGCTCCAGGGTCGTGTCTCTAAATGTTTCATCTGTAGGTCCACGGACACATCGTGTGGATGCAGCAGATATTTGTACCGCAGTGTTTAGTTTATCTGATTATTACATTAAATGTTTGTTTTGCTCGTTCGATGCACACGGGTGGTGGTTTTTAGCGCATTATGTAAATAAAGATGAACGCTCGCGGACAGAAGCTCTTTTTGGGCCATTGTGTTGAACTTTATGTCGTTTTTGTTGCTCTCTCGTGCTGAAACTTTGCAGGACGACTTTTTTTTAGTGCTTTTATTCTTTAATGTCTTCGATGCTCCGACAGCAAAGTTCTGCTTCCAGCAAAGCTTTGGTGAAGTTTTTGCTGAACCAGGTTGAGCGTTGATGCAGCTGCAGGAGGCAGAGCAGATCTCAGGTCAGAGAGGGAGAGGTTCTGCCGTTTACAGATGTTCCCTAAACGCCTCACAGGCATCATTAGACGCTGACAGGTCTCCATCAGTTACTGCAGGTCAGTTTAAACAGAGTGAAATGACGTGTTTTAACATCATCGTAGTTAAAACTGAGCGATTTTACAAATGAAAAGCTTCACAGATGTTTTGTAAAAACTTGCAGCTACTTTCTGAACCGTCTCCGGCTGCAGCTTCACATCTGATCTGATCGAACTCGAAAGCAGGAAGCTTGAATCTTTTCAAAATGTCAAAACTTTCTTTCTCGTCTCTCTGACTTCATCCAGATCATCAGCTGACTGATCGGTTCTGGTCGATCAATAGCTTGTTGTCAGTAATCGAGCACATCGATAATTGATATTTAGCACCTTTGTAGTAAAAATTTAAATCTTGGTGTCAACAAACACAAACTTCATCACAGAACTACATTAAAATGCCTTTTTTTTAATTGCAGCGCTGCAACATTGAACAGATGAAACTCAACTTTAATTAATCGTTAATTACAAGAAAAGAAAAGTCTGAACTTCATGATCGCAGCTTCTTCACTGTGAACGTTTTCTGTGACGGTAAACTGAAGGTCTTTGGATGAAACAAGACATTGGTCCACATTTTTCACCATTTCCTGACATTTCAGACCAAACAGCTGATCGATTAATCCAGAAAATCACTTAAACATGAAACACTAATTGTTCTGATAATTAATTAATCGGTTTGAATCTAAATTCTGATTGACGCCTTTTAAATGTGAATGTTTTCCTTCCTCCTCCATGAGCCAGACACATTCATCACAATGAAATATTCACGTTTAATTAAACAGCATTGACTGTCTCATGAAGTGCAATCAGCTCAACTGTGCTTTAAGTTACTTCATTATAGCAAAAGTCTATTTTTTAAAAAGTTAAAGCAGAACCTGAACATGTGATGTAATAATAATAATGAGTGTTTGGCCTCTGACAGCCCGACAGACCGGCTCCTGTCTGATCCGGTTCAGGGTTCCTACCTCTGTTCTGAACGGTTTCCTGGGCGTCATGTCTCGGTTCCTTTCCCTGACCGTTGCCGTGTCCATCCTGGGGGTGAAGTCTTTGGTGGAGTCCTGGGTGGGCTGGGCGGCGTTGGGCTCGATGTAGACCATGCTGACGGTGGCCGTCTCCTCCAGAACCTCCTCGCCTCCACCTGGGACACGGCGGGAAGAAAACAACTCTCACATCTGTACAAGAATGTAAAGACTCAGCGTGTCACATCCAGAGCGTCACGCTGCTGGGTTTGGTTTGAACCAGGGATGCACCGTGTACCAGCAACCACATCGGTATCGGTCCGATATCAGTGTTTTTACTGATATGTCGGTATCGGTCCGATGACTGTCTAACATCAGCGCCTTCATCTCTACGTTTGATGGTGCTGCTGTTTTTACTTAAATGCTCCTGGACTTAAATATGTTAAAATATGTCTTACTTTTAATAAAGAAGACCATGTGGTCCAATCTGGGCTTCTTCTGATTAGTTTCCTCACAGTGCTACTGATGCTCATGTTTCAGTGTGAACAAGAGCTGAACATCGACATCGGCCACATCAGAAATCTTAATATCAGATATCGGTATCGGCCAGAAATGTGAATATCGTGCACCACTAGTTTAACTGCATTGTCTACAGTCTGGACCGGGTCTAGAATGCAGAGTGATCCAGAAGCAGCTCCTGGTCGTCTGCTTTGCCTCACAGGACCTCCTCCTGCAGGCGGAGGAAGGAGTCGAGCCGAGCAGCTCATAAAGTGTAAAAATCCTCCCACGGCCCAGAGACAAAGAGTTCATACTGCAGGTGTGTGAGCGGTTCCTACCTGAGCCGGACCCTGAGTTGAAGTCGTCGTCGTCTTCGGGGTAGAAGCCTCCTGAGCCTGTGTCGTCCAGGTACAGGTCGTCGGCCTGAGAGGAGCCCTTGGCTGCTTGTGCTATCTGCAGAACAACGATGAAGACAAGCTGGTCAAGATCCGGTCCAGGGTCCAACATTTAAACATCACATCACGTTTAGTTCTCACTGCAGCCTCTCACATCAGTGTTGTCCAGCTTTTGGAGTAACACTTTGGTGGATTATGTTCTGGTTTCATCCTCTTGGAGGTAATTTAACACAAAAAAACGAGCTTTTCTGAAACTTTTGAGGCAGAAAATACAGAAAAAAAGCAGCTTGAATGACAATCAGTGGCTTGGATCTTCTGTAAAACATTGATGAGCGATAGTTTTGGATGCGACACACATTAAATGTTCTATATTAAGAGCCCACGCTAGCAGGAAGCGGACTTCAGAACCAGGACTCTTCATTAACGAGGATTATTACAACAGGAACAGAAGTGACGACATCGGGACGTTCTCTGTTCACTGATCACCTGATCAGATCAATAACTGCTCATTTCCTGCAGTATGCTCAAATATTTCTCTCTTGTGTCACTTTTGTTTCACATTAAATCACGAAACGATGTTTTGTCTTTACCAGCGGCTCTGACTGCTGATTGGCTGTTACTCAGGAAGTTGAACCAATCAGATCAGGCAGTGGGCGGGGACACCACAGGAAGAGATTTAATTGATTCTATTTGGAATTGACTAATAACAACAACGACAGGGATGGTCAGATATTGGAGCCAATAATTGATCAACAATAATGTAGTAATGACTGCTGAGTGTAACCGTGGTAACAGATCATCACCAACACGCTTCCTGTTTCCTGTTTCTACTAAACTTTCTGTTTGTATGTTTTCTACAGTCGTACCGTCATATTCCATCATAACATTCACCCGTCACGGTCGGACACGCAGACTGAGCCGTGATCAGTTGGTCACATGTGACGTGTTGGAACAAACTTCCTGCAGACGATATTCTTCAAACTCTTTTTATGGTTTACAGCAGCAGCATTTAACATCTTCTCTCTTCTACCAGAATGTTAGCTTCCTTATTTTTCTGAACTGCAACACGTGTGAGCTGCTGGATCACTTGAGTTTGATGAACAAACTGTTCGTCCATGTCGTGGTTTGAGCCAAATGCTAACTTTAGCATGCTAACATACCCACCAAGCTAACACGCTAACAGCTTTAGAGTCACAATGCTATGCTAACATGATCGTCTATGGAGCTCTGCTTCACAGGTTACAGCATGTTTAAATTCTGAGCTTAAATATTTCAGTCTGGACCGAATGTGTGAATCCAAACTGTTCTAAATGTTTCCTGACAGGTGACCGTCCAATCAGAAGCCTCCTCTGGCAGCATCATCGCCGTGACAACCGCCCTGCCTGCTGGGAATGTTTGTGTTGCGGCTTAATGTGCTGATTGGCTGAAAGGAGGCCGTTCAACAGCAGCCTGTTTGTTCAGGACGCTCACGTGGAGCCAAAGTTGAGATTCTGACGAGAGCTCCGATAAGAAGATGTGTTGTTTTCCCTCCTCTCTCTCTGAGCTGCGTCACACGTTCGCCGGACGTTGTAACGCGTCGCCGTGGTGTTTATCTGAGAGCGTGTGACTGGACTCGCTGTGATCGCATCCATGGCAACGTCCATTCAGCTGCTGCTCAGCCTCCAGAGCCGATGGAGGAGCACAAAGGACGAGTCGCCACATATCATCCCTGCGTGAGAGCGTTTAGCTGCTGCTGCTGCTGAGACCGAAATGAAGCTGGACTGGAGGAAACAATCGGCCGGTTCGGAGGGAAACCAGTGTTTTTCTGTCAACTGCAGAGAATAAACGTGCTGTTAAAAAACCAGGGAAACGAGTTTCACACGACAATAAATAAATAATTTCTATAAAATTAATAAAAATCTGGCAGCAACAGTGTCGAATAAATACATAGAATAGAGGAAAACCTGTAAAAACTAAAAAAAATAACTGAAATATCTGTAAATAATGTTGTCAGCTGATTTAAATACAGTCAGAACGTTGTCATTTTATGTTCAAACACTGTAAAAGAACTGATTCATATTAGTCAAATACAGACATTTCTAAAGTGGAAATTATTTAAAAGTCTGTTTTTAAATTAACGTGTAAATGTGTCGGTTTTTTCTCATTTATTTTCTATATTTAGACAAAACAGGTTGAATCTGTAAAATAACATTTTTTTAAAAGTTTACTATTTTTTCAGTCCTGAAGTTACATAATTTGGATTTTAAATGTCAGCAAACATCTTTAAAATAATATTATTTGCTGATTAAAATACGGTAAAACGAAATTGTCAAATGTCATAAAGAACAAAATGCTTTTTATAAAAACAAAGATTCTGCAGTCCTGACTGGTTTTTGTTCAGTCCTGACTGGTTTTTGTTGGCAGCGTGTAGCTTCAGACTGTTTTTTCTGCTTTTGCTTGAAAATAATGAACAACAGGAGAAAAAAAGATTTTCTGCTCATTTAAACAGTAAAAAAAAGTTTAATTTTATGGTTAAACACTGGAAAATAATTATTATTTATAAAAAATGCCGATTTACAAAAAAATGATTAAATAATGTGGACATTGTTTATAGTTTGGTCCTTTTCAGGGTGAACATATAAATTGTTTATGTTTTTAAAACACATTTTGCTGTATTTTCACTTACATTTATCTCTTGCTTCAATGTACCTTATTATATATATATATATATATATATATTAATATTATTATTATTTATTCGGCTTTTTCTTAAAAACAAAACAAAACATGTGAATGTGAGCTGACATGACAAATAAAGTTCCTTGAATCTTTCATACTTTTTGCTGTGATTTTACTTTTTATTATCTGGAATTTAACAAATCTGGAAAATTAAAGTTAGTTGTTCAACAAAATTTCAATTAAAGCGTTAATTTTTTACAGCTCTGCAGCTGATGTTGTTTTTATTATTTTAAACCATCAGTACGTAAATGATTGAACACTTTTACAGGTTTCATCATGTGCTCGACGTATGTTTGCTGTGTTTCATCAGCTCTGTTTGCGTTCTGCTGTTTTCTCCTCTGGGTCCAATAAAACTCTCATAAAAACATCAGATCACAGCTTCCTTGAGCCAGAACACCGTCGCCCAGCGGTTTGTTTTGCCCAAATCCCAAATTTATTCCATTTCCAGTGATGTTAAAGCAGCAGATGCTCTTCGTGGCATTTCCACTGGATGGTTTCAGCCTTAAAGCGTCACATTCCTGCTGTAACTCTGCATTTCCAATCACTGCCGGCGCTCTAATGCGAGCTGCTCGGGAGGCTTTCAAGTCATTGTTGGCGACGGTGTTTGTGTGCAGCCTGAAAGAAAAGGTCAGTAGCTCTCCATAACAAAGAGGCCGCGGCTCACGCAGCTCGCAGCGCCGTCAAAGAGATGAAACGCAACAATGCTGCGTCTCTGCGAGGCCTCCGACCGCCGCTGATCAAAGCCTGCATTTGTTCAAAGCCACTTTATCTTAACCTTTCCTCGCCTCCTTGTGTCGCGGCGGCCCGGTGAACCGAGCGCCGGTCCAAAGGAGGCAGGTCACAGATCAAACCGAGACAAACAGCGCTAATGAGACGGAGGCCACACACCAGCACCGGCAGCATGTTGGACCGGCGGCGATCACCACGGCACATCACAGCAGACCTGTGAAGCCTCCACCTCACTCATCAGACTCATAAACAGATGAATCGTGTCCACGGCGACGCCACGCTGGAGGCTAATTCTGGTTTTATCTCCTACAAGAAACTCTGTGGAGGCAGAACTCCTGATCATGTGGTTGTTCAGAGAAACACTGAACAATCCCAGTTTGCTGGAATCCACAGTGACGTCTGAAGATGCTCAACATCCATTCATCATCTCTACACCTTCATCCTCACTATGGGGGGCGGAGCCTATCCCAGCTGACTCAGGGTGAAGGCAGGTTCACCTGGACAGGTAACCAGTCTATCACAGGGCTACACTTAGAGACAGACA